AAATATGTTGTCGAATATTTGCTCGTGGAGATTTCGTCCTTTTGTTATTGGAAAAAGGAGGGAAGAAAAAAATTGGTTATACTGTACAAAGGGGGTTTTCTTTCGCTTTTTACGGGAGGCTAACTATAGTCAACTGTAATAAAAGTCAATTGTACTGTACAGGACGGGCATTGATTTTTGTATGTTTTTAAAAACTCATTTATTACATTATCTAATATAATCACACTTTTTTCAACTTTTAATATATACAACACAACTTTTAATATATACAAAATCATTGCACTATTGTTTTTACAACATAAAATATATTGAGAAGGCAAAGATATTTGATTTCAACATTTTTTTCTCGGATTACTAAAGAATCAAGACGAAATCATTTTGAGTGGAGTATTAAATTTCATTAGACTTCTTCCTGTTTTGTTCTTAGAAATGTCGGTTTATACAGTACATATTGATTTATATACTGTTATAAGCTAAACATTTCTTTCAAACAATCACGCACAAACCTGTACTCAAGAGAATATAAAATTAAATATTCTTTGTAATTAAATATAACTTAGAAAAGGAGGCTGAAGACGTGGTATCACCGATTTAACGAAACCATTTTGGTGATAACACGTCAAAGAATAAAGAAGCAAATGAACTTGAAACCGAGAAAAATGTACCAATTTACAAAAATATGGTTTTCCCCTTTTGTTGTGCATGTATTTTTATATAATTTTAATGATAATTGTCTATTTTCATCTAGAATAAGAAAATAATATGATTTAACGAAACCCTTTGGTTATACTAGGTCAAAGTCAAGGAATAAAGAAGCAAATGAACTTGAAAACGAGAAAAATGTACCAATTTACAAAAATATGTTTTCCCCTTTTGTTGTGCATATATTTTAATATAATTTTAATGACAATAGTCTATTTGGTTTTTTACCTAGGATAAGAAAATAATAAGCAGGAACTTATTAAGTGACTTACATATATAAAAGGTACAAAGAAGCGACCAGTAAAGTAGGAAAAATTGGTTTCTAAAAAAAAAACCAACAGAATTTTTTTAAGCACTCTTTCAAGCCCATAAATAGGAATCTTTATAGAAAACAAAAAAAAGGACTTTTCTAGATTGGATTTGTTTGGGGCCATTGTTTCTTTCCAACTTACTCTGTTCCACTTAGTAATATGGATTTTATACAATTATGGTGGTATTTCAACCAATAAAAAGCTCCATTTTTCATTTTATTTTTAGAATCTTTGGGTTTTCTGTCATAAGAAGGTAACAAGGTAAGTATGAAATCAACAAAAACTACTCAAAGTTTTATTATATACCTCTAGTTCTGCTTGATTTGCGAATATAACAAGTAAAGTAAAAAACAAAGAATATTAAGTAATAAAACAAATTGATAGAAATCCTTGAAATGCATGCATAATAAAGACAGAAATCCATTTCGACCTAGTATCACCGCAAAATATTGCATTACAAACAGTGATCTCATATCCCTAGCTACCCCTTTTTAGATAATTGAATTTAGTACTACGGTAAAACCACTGAACTCTAATTTTCATATTTATTTCTTTAATCTCAAAAATAACTGGTCGTGTGTAAATCGTATCCAACCGTTGACTTAGAAAATAGATGAGGTACACTTTTAAACTTTTATTTTTATGCTGCCATTTATTGGAACGAACATTTCCATTTCCAGGAGAAGTTTCAATACAAAGTAGGCTAATAATCACAACTTGGCAAACTTAAATCTTTTCTCTACCCACAAAATGCCATTGAGGTTCTATTTCTCTTTATCTAACTAATTATTAATGCTCGGATTTGTTTTTCATTAGAACCCTATAAAATTACGGTTTATTGTTTCTTGAAGAACTTTTTAATAGCGAGGTCTTGAGGTCTGTGGATTGATGAAATCGTTGTTTGGTCGTTACCAATCATCCTGCTCCGCCTATATTCGCTGCTTTGATGTATAAAGCTCCCTTTTAAACCTGCTAGTTTATGTAGTTTAAGTTCGAGTCTCAACCCGTTCTTCACTACCACAATCAAGTAGGACCGTTCTCTTATCTTCTACTTCTTCTCCGCCGATTGTTTTCTCTTATTAATTGTGTAAAAGAGAACGCAATTGGAGGGGAAAAGACGGGACGGGCGTCGGTTCTTCGGGCGAGGTGCCGTGGCCGAGAGCAGTGGCGAGCCAGAGGATTACTCTCTTGTTTACAAAACAAGGTAGGCAAAACATTACCCAGTAGTACACATCGTACCGGAATTATTGTGGTCCGAGGTTACTCCTCGCGTCATGAGTGACCCAAATATTTCCGACGCAGCTAATGAGCATGCTAATTNAAAAAAAAAAAGATGTATAAAGCATCTCATCTTAGCGGAAATCTCGGAAACTAACAATCAACACCATTACGTGAGTTAAAATTATGTAAGTTGTTAGCAACACACGTATATCTCACAAATCAAAAATAAATTACATTAATTATGTAAAATACAAATTTCAAGAATCCTTTTCTCCTACGAGTCAAACAAAACGGTCGTAAAATTTTCCGTAAGGATTTATTATTTTTATCACACGACGTGTTATATTTTTATTATAATCCTATACATGAATAATTCTCCCTGACCTCCCATTACATCCAAGGCTGCCAGGGATATTATTTCCTTTCCTTTCCACCCGCCCTATCCATTTATTATACGTGGCGTTTGATGATGATACTTTGGCCCACCTTGGAACACCCCCTCCTTTATTTATTAATTTCTGACAATTATTTTAATTAAAATAATCCTATTATTGGAAGAGGAAGATTCTATTATAGGAATTTATCGAAGTCCAATCAGGCGGAGATTTTATTAAGGTTTGTAATAGGCTTATTAGAGAAACTACATTTTGCAGCAATATATTTCTAAAATAATTATTAATAATAAAAATTAAAGAGTAGAAAAAAGAGGCCTAACATATACAATTTTTTTTTAAATTCAGTTGTTTTTGTATTTATATAATTGAACCGCCTAACCTACAGAACTGAAAATCACAATCAATCAAAATTACCAGTCAAATGGCCAAATATTGCAATATTCAAAGATTACAAAGTTTTTAATAAAAGATTTTACGACTAACTGTTTCTGTCCGTTCATATATAAACAATAACACATTTCACAGAGAACTTCACATGTCAATTGTTTTTCCATCCATCAAAACCTATTTCAAACATTTTCACAGTAAATTATAAGATCTTTATAACACACAAATCCAATTGATCCATGCCCCCAATTCGCCCCTCCCCACCGGTCGATGGCTGAAAAGAATATGGCTAAGAAACCTCTTAAGTGATTAATCCTTAGCGGCTTTCAATCGCGGTAGCTTCCTCAATAATACCGATTAATGCCACAAATTTAAGTTTAATCTGCTGTGTAAATTCATGTACAGTTTTAAACAACATAAATTTACATGATTAAACATTCAAAGATTATCCGGCTGTAACGAACAGTCGTCCATTTCAGATCCGATTTTAATTGTAAGTGAAGAATATCTCTGTACGTTCCGTCTGTTCTGAAATGTATTAAGCATAAAAGTCTTTCCACATCCGTTTCTAAGCGACTGATATAAGTGTACTGAAAGGGAACCCAAAGATGTTCCTTTTGGTCTAACAGAGGGAGTAGATAAAAGTTAAAGTTCATCTGAATCACAGAAATTAATTTCTTTACAATGGTGCATAGCTAAAAGAATAAAATTCAATATTGTCCAATCAATAAATATTTCTATCACCCTCGACAAACTTGCTCTCCTATCTACTTCAACATTTCCCTCCGAAATGCAAACTAGATGCGATACCTAGGTATACACCTAGGCTAGTAATTTTCACCCCATAACTGGATTTTTTCTAAGATCCTGGAATTTGCATGCAAGAGAAGATTCACAGCATTTTTGGAAAGTCACAGTATTCTTGTTCATAGCCAATATGGCCTTAGAAAGAGAGTACACCACCAACTAGATAATGGAAACTATACACATGGGAAGGAAATGAAATAGTAAAAATAATTTTAAATTATTTAAGTAACGCTTTTGACCCTGTATGAAATTCTGCTAAGTAAACTAGACACATGTGATGTGAGAGGGGTGGCACATAAATTCTGCAAAGTTCAAACAGTACGCAAATAATTTTGTGTGGGGGCTGTCCATTTCTAAGCAAAATTTAAAAAATCATGTCTTACAGGCTGTGTTTATAGAAAACTCTTTTTGCAGAATTCTACTCCATTTACAGTCTACAAACACCCAAATTGCTTTTGCATCCCATAGCGAATCACCCTGTATAATAATTGTCCTAACGGTATTATCGGTCGTCCTTGACCATTCCAGTTTTGATGATCAACAGCCTTCTCGAAAAAATTTATATTAATTGACGTGTATCAAAAAACCATTAACAAATGTTTAACCATCGAGCCTAAATTTGTTACAATTACATATCTTACTCCGCACAAGTTTTGCAAAATTTACTATGTACGAGTCCTAATAATTAATTTTCATTGATATGGTTTGTACGTTTTTCTGTTTAAACGAGATAATATTTTTTTAAACAAAATTCATTTAATTATAATGATAATACATTTGATTAGTGAATATAAATAAAAGTAAAAAATAAAATAAAAAACATTTTCATGCGTCTTCGGCGTAGAATTTTTCCTGTTTGATTTTTTTCATCTCATTATGTCCGGATTACAGTTGATTGAAATAAACCCTTTACGACCGTTTTCAATGTTAGGAAAATTACAATTTTTTCCCAAAGATAATCCTAAAGTTTAATTTTGTATAAACGATATTTTTTGTACAATAGTTGAAACCAAAAAGCCTATATTGCACTGTTGTTTTTAATATACAAATTATCATTAAAATTAAAAGTAGCTCTCAGACATGCTTAATTTATTTAAAAGGGTTTTTTTATTAAAACTGACTTATTCCTTTGTTATGTGGTGCAATTTTGATTTGAAAAGTATTAAAATGTACCTACCTTGTCCCTGTTGATGTTTATTATCTGGAACAAAACAAAAAAATTAATAATCTTGTTTTTAAATCGCTGAGCATAAAATTATAAAGAAATAAACAAGAAAAAATATTTTACAGATTTAAAATATAAATAGTTTAATGAGCATTATCAATGATTATATCATGTATAGCCCTCTAAGAAGATGTTTTTGATACTACCATTGAGAGTATCGCGCTTAACTTAATCGACCACCGGGTTTTGTTGAACATAACCAATTTTCCGTAATCTTATCTTGTAAAAGCTTCTTTTATGGCCGAATGCACAGAGCATAAAATCTTATTGCCACAAACTAACGTCCGTAATAAAACAACCTTTTCTCATCCTCCCTGTCATATGGTTTAGATTAATAAGTGCCTCATTTTAAAAATGGCATGAAACGTTAAGATTCTCAGGCTTTTGAACGTAAAACCTATGCGCGAAAAATGAAAAACAGCGATTCTTTAATTAAAATCCCTGTTTAATTTGTACAATTATCTTGTTTTGAAAGATTGACAAGTGTTGGCTAATCACAATAAACTGACGTGCTTATGGAAAAATAAATTTCGACACTTTTAGTACTTATACATTGCACGAAGAGTATGAAAATGAAAGTAAAAACTTATTCCTCAAATAAAACAGGGAATTGTAAGGAAGGCCATTCATCTTCGGAAGTTTTTTCTTTTCAAAAAATCTAGACCTTTTCTTAACTGTAAATTAGATTTTTTAAGCTTTTCTAGTGCTGTAAGAAACTTAACTGTCTTTATGTATATTATATTGAAAAACAGTTATAACAATAATGTACAAAGTGCGTGGAATTAATCAATTAATTACACTTTAACATAGCACTAATCAACCTCCTTACTAAGAAGGAAAGCGGGAGGCTGCTTCAGACATTTGATGAAAGATGGGGACTAGCAGTTCAAAGTTCTGAGTAGATAGGCTTTATTGAACCGTCGGCAATCGTTTGAAGGATTTTGGACAGGAATAACGGAATTCTTTGGAGTTTGGATTGCATGGTTGAACCACAAAGTTAGATTCCTTACGTACAGATAATTGCAGTAATGATATGTACATGAAGCGTTTAATTTGCAGTAAGGTCTGCTGTAAAGTAGTCTTTTGAGTAGTATATATGGTCATTTAGTTCCTCTTTTGAGTCAGGTGTGGTGGTTCCAAGTACATTTTTGATGTAAAATCCCAAATATCAAACAATATGCTGGAAGAGGATCCGAGTTGTAGATTGGAAGGAAGGCGAAGAGTGAAGGTAATTTGCTGGAATTTAGTTTCCTTGAGTCTCATCTACCATTTCTTGAGACATTCAAAACTCGAGGTTTTTGAGGGTTATTGCTTAGTTGGGGTTTGCTGAAAAAGTGCGGCAGCGCCCGTATATGTGAGGTATTTAAAGAGAAAAAAGAATTGAACCAAGTATGCTGCCTTACGGAACACCCGCTTCGGACTAGTAGAGGAGGGAGGATGTTCTAACTCTTACTTGAAAAGTATCTATCGAACAATTAAATATTCAGTTGAAGTGATATTTCAAACGAATAGCCACACTTGATAAAAGAGGAAAACACCCGAGCAGCATTCCTTCCAGTTCTAGTGAGTCTTCTAAACTGAAATGTTATAGTGATGTCGCCTGAACACGAATTGATGTGAATCAGACAGAATAATTTGCCCGCCATGAAAGCACCTGTTGATAATAATTTCTATAGATGGTGAATTATTTTTTTTATCATGTACTCTTCTTAAAGAACAATAATGATATGTAATCGATGTGATCAGACTGCGACCTATGCCTTTTAAACAATAGTTTATGGCAAATTCCAGAGAATACAACTATATTTAATATTCAAGAAATAAACGGTTATTACCTTGAAACCGGTCGTAATTGTCTTGTAAGATACGTTTACGTTTTACCTGTGTTCCTTTGTCTAAAAACGATTTTTGCGTTTTTGAAGGTTCTTGATTTTTAATTTAAAACTGTATTCTGCTTTGATATTTTATTATTAACATCTTCCGGCTTTCAAATCATTAAATTATCATTAAATTAAAATTTGTTACCTGCGAGTTTTCATTTAGATTAGATTGATGTAAAAATATTGTTTTGATATCTTACGTGTAAAAACTTGAAAATTGGTGTACGGAGATTGGCCAAATTTCTGTGAGGATCGCGTAAATAACTTTAGTTGAAATCTGACAGACATGTTCTCTCAAATCCCTACAACACTCCACCTGCTTTGCTCAGGGATTAACGAGAAAATTGGTTTCAGGAAGAAATAGGCAGTAGCAACAGGTTATTAAAGCAGTCCTTCGAGTTGTATATTAACAAAATAAATATATTACTATTGATATAATAATGAGCGATTTGTCGTTTAAAAAAGTTATAATTAATAAATAATAATTGATTAAATATTAATTAATGGAAAATAATAATTTTACATACTACTTTAAAACTTATTAGTTTGAAAACGGACGGAAAATTATTCTAAAATGTTGAGTATCAATTAGATTTATTGTTTTGCAGGGGTTTAATAGGAAAAGCTATACATTGGCCCACCTGCATGACATAAAATGGCATACATGATAGTATGAAAACAATACCATTGATAAAAAAAGATCACAAAAACAATAAAAACCATTGTAGATTATATCGGCTTCAGCACAAACAAAATAGAAAATAATAAACAAGACGACTAATAAATAGACACTAAATGAACCTCATTTACATACATAAAAACACATTTGGAAAACTATTGGGTTGTCCGGAAAATAATGCAGGATTTTGGTATTAAACAAAAAAAAAGAAACTAGTTACTTTAAAGCAATGTTCTTTAATCAAAATAATNTACAAATGAGTAATCCTGTAAACGTAAACAGAATATTTTATATAGATTTTTTTTAATGAAAACTTAAAATCCTGCATTATTTTCCGGACAACCCGATAATAAATTAAAACATTGACAAAATCCACTTGACAAGCTGATAATACTTTGTAACTAAATTCTGCTTTGCCTCACGTATATTTTCAATTGTTGATAATCCGCAAAATTCGAGTAAATGTCCTCTCTTGTTATAAACTTTAGATAAGTTATGTCATTATGCTTCAGAGCTCCATCACACTCCAGTCCTATTATACATATAACTAATTTTATTGAAGGTCAATTGGGTACTCAATATTCTGCCATCAGCTCTCTCACTAACGCAAATAAATATGTTCAGTCTCAATATGTACAAAGAAATGCAAGACGAAATATCTATAAAATTATATACATTTTAACAGCTCTGTTTCCTCTAAAAATCTGTACAGGGGATACGCTGCTGTGCACAATCGCAATCTCATATCAGTGGCATTCCTACGCGCTCTCTATATGGAGCCAAGTGACGGCAGCCTTTAATTAAGTGGAACAATCGAGCAACATTTCCCAACGTGCCAGACACATACACGAGCTTTGGCTCCAAAGATAGTGTGTCAACCTCCCATGGCTTATTCTTAATCGGGTTCAGATGAACCTGTTCTATAGTTCAGATCCTCCGAAGATAACATATCAACAGTGTTCTTGATATGTAAGACCCTCAGATTGGGCCATATAAATTTGATTTTTTATTTTATTATTTTAAAATTATAATTGGGTATTAAAAAGTCAGAGATAATGGCAATTTGAAATAGAAGAACACTCAGTAACTTCGTCAAGTATTATATCTCATTTACCAGGACATTGAAACTAATATTATTTTTCAATTGATTAATGTTTTTAGTTGAGATATTGATAGATTGAATTGGTCAAGCGGACCACGAAAACTTGTGAATTTAATATTATTTTTTAACAAAATTAACAAATACTCTTGACTATCTCTTATGTTGTTAACACAGAGGTTTTTTGAGCTGATAGCGGATCAAGTTTTTCAACCCGTTTATTAAGTGTGTTTTCTTTAATTTTAAATTAGCCTTATACCTTGAATTTTTCATTGAAATTCAGTCTGATTGTGGAATGGTTTCGTACAATCCTATTTGCTGTCACATCTCAAGATGAAGGGTAAATGTGAAGTGTCGTGACATTTTAGTGGTGAGCTTTTGGGTTTTATTTTCCAGAGCTTACCCCGTTTTTTTAATTTTTATTTTATGCTATAACAAAACAGGTGAAGTTCTTTGCTAATCAAGTTGTGTAATAATCTATGTATATGTACAATGAATATTTTCATTCCAGGCCGCATCGGGGAAAAGCCAGCGTTACGAGAATTACTCTTCAATCTTGTACCTAGGGAAAAATCTCTCCTTGAGGCAGGATTGGTTCAAATAATAATCCCGGAACAAAAAAAAATAAATGATATATAAAATTTATATAAACATAAAAAAAATATATATAAACTTTATAAAATATCACCATGCTATGTCAAATACTCTGAATTATCTAAAAAATCACTTCAGGCATGAAATATTTAATCTGTAACTGGGTGTGTATATATATATATATATATATATAGAGAGAGAGAGAGAGAGAGAAAGAGAGAGAGAGAGAGAGAGAGAGAGAGAGAGCTGTAATACAATATTAATATGACATAGAAAAAATTATAATTTATTACAATTAATTAAGGTTTTTAGTTGAGATGAAAAAAAGTTAATCGCACGAGCGGGATTCGAACTAGTGAATTTAATTGGTCAAGCGGACCACGAAATTAGTGAATTATAATTTATGCTAAGATTATAATGTAAATAATAGAAATAAATTTTGAGATAATCTTATCGGCTAGTATTTCGATGGTTGCTTTAAGAAATTTATATTATAATGAATTTAAATTATATAATAATATAAAAGATACACTCACAACGTCGTCANATATCTTTCATTTTATCTCTACTTAGACTATTATTTATACATGGTCATAATTGATTTTTTTTCTCTTAAGAGACATGATACAAGACATTATAATATAAATTTATGTTATAATAAATTTAAAATATTTAATATAAAAGATTTTGTTGTTGCAAGTAAAGTTTATGAATAATGATTAAT